CCAACATGCTCTTGGCCTGGATGCCATGGGATTTCTGAAGAAGCATCACCAAATAAGAGGCCAAAAGAGGAGACAAACATAAAATCTTCATGTGCAAATTTATATGTATTAATACAGATGTTGAAATAACTATTGAATTTAAATAGAAATACAGGCTCTCTCCCATAGCTGAGGCAGCTGGGACCAAGGGGCCTGTGTGCCTGTTCACTTTTCTTCGCAGGTGGTAAATGTTGACAGGAAACTTCAAAGCTCTTGCTCTCTTTTCTGACGCCTCTTTATCCTCAAACCAAATATTGACCAGGCAGCACTTTGAAAAGGGGATGCCTTTAAACATACAGTAATTTTGTGCTTCTGTCCTTCAAATAGAGGACTGCCTTCTGTAAAAATGGATACATGGTAACCTTCATCCAATTATTAATTTTGCACTCAGCATTTCTATAATGGGAGATTTTTTGCATTAGCCTCATTTATTTAGTGTGAATGGATTTTAAGAAAAAGCAATGGAGCCGCTCTTTGCTGGGGGTATGCAACATGCTGGTTTTATTTCCCCTAACAGATTGGCAACAGAAGAAATGCTGCTGCTGATATTTAATCCTCATAGGGAGAACTCCGGCTACACAATAGAACTGAGATTTTATTATGGAAAGGCTGGATGGATCTCATACTTCCTAGGGTGTTTCCTCTCCTTTGGGAAAAGAGCTGACATCTGGGAAGATGAATATTTTAGATCCATCATTCATTATATTTTCTTCTTTTCATACCCCCACAGAGAGCCACATCAGATGAACCTTCTGCCTCTCCTTGGATTCCACAGGGATCATTGTTGCCAAAGTATTACAGTTAAGGAAATAAATAGCAACAGAAAAGCAAAACAGTTTGAATTTTTATCCTGAAACCCAGCAGTGGCATCCGTGTCAGTGGGATGGCTCCATGTTTTAGTCTAGCCATTAGAGGAGCTCTGGAAACTGCTGAACCTATTTTGGGAATAAGGTTCAGCACTTTGGATGATTCTTTTAAAATGCAGTCTGGCTTGAGTTTGAAAGAGCTATCCAAGGTGCTGAATCCTATCCCCAGAGTGGAGTTACAACCTCATTGAAATGGAGGCTTTTCACTGCTGCTACCCAGAGGCAATCTTAATTGTTTATTTTAGGGTAGTCTAATGTCTTCTCAAAACTTCTTACAACTACTGTGGGTTTTTTTTCATGCCAGGAGCGACTTGAGAAACTGCAAGTTGCTTCTAGTGTGAGAGAATTGGCCGTCTGCAAGGATGTTGCCCATCAAAACATGCCCAGATGTTTGGATGTTTTACCATCCTTGTGGGAGGCTTCTCTCATGTCCCCGCATGGGGAGCTAGAGCTGACAGAGGGAGCTCATCTGCGCTCTTCCTGGATTCGAACCTTCGACCTCTCGGTCTTCAGTCCTGCCGGCACAAGGATTTAACCCATTGTGCCACCAGACACTGTGGTGCTGTAGTGATTATGGTGTTAGGCACGATTTGGGGAGACTCAGGTTCAGATTTCCATTTGACCACCAAAACTTACTGAGTGACCTCAAGACTTTCACTTTCTCTTGTCCTAAACTGAATCATAATTGGTTGGTTTGTTTTCGAAGAACTATTAGGGAGTGGGTGGGGGCATGTAACTCTCTTGAGTTCCTGAGAGGAGAGACAGGCATTATTTACATGTAGTAAATAATGCAGAACAAACAAACAAAAAACCCAATGCCTCCCAAACCAAAAGATCCATACAGAATGTGCTGCCGGGTTAATTTGCAAACCACAAAGAGTACATTGATGTCCTAGTTCCCACTGAATTATATGCCTTAGATTTCTTTGCAGGAAAAGGATAGATAAGCTTATCTTGGACCTAGAATCAAACTACTTTCAATTTGTCTTAGAAAACTTTCCTAACTGTCATGGGACTTTGAAATTACTTCTTTTTCCATTTTCCATTTAGCTCTTTGATGTCAAGATGGGCAAATAAAGCTTTACTTATCTCATATCGGTGACTGGTAAATACAAAGCATTGATCCAACTTCTATCCCCATCTCCTGTGCATATAGTCAAGAGATTAGTATGCAGAATTCATAGGACCTATGGAGACCCATCAGATGTTCTAAAAAGAGTGATAGATAGATAGATAGATAGATAGACAGACAGACAGACAGACAGACAGACAGACAGACAGACAGTCTGGAAGCTACTGTACCTTTTGTTTTCCTCAGTGAAGAAGAACTATACTGGCTGCTGGAGAATTCTAGGAGCTATAGTTAGAAAGAGGATTGTTCTGCCTGAGGCAGAATAACAAATGGAATCAGCCACACACACACACTAAGCCATGCTTTAAAGCAACTAAAGCCAGCTAAGTTCCTTTGTTATGTGAGGCAAAACCCCCAAAACAAACCCAGAAGGACTTTTTACCCTGAGAATAAAAACAGAAGAACAACAAAGTAAACAATGTTTTTCTGTCCTTTTATGCCTTCCAAAACCTGCTGCCTGAGGCAGCCACCACATTTTACCTAATGATAGATCACTCTGACTGGTGGAGATTTCCACTGTATTATGAAATTCATATCAAGAATGGGAACTGTGCATCCTTGGCTGAGTATAACTCCTAGCTTTCCTCCCCATTGCTATGATGACTAGGGTCTCTAGTATAGGACCTATACTTCTGCAACATCTAGATCAGCTGCACAGTTCCAATCCTGATTTATATGCAGTCTTTTGGGATATCCTGCATCTGTACCTGATTATATTATTATCAAAGTGCAGATCTCATTGCACCAGTGGTTATACATTTTCACAGTTAGAGAAAAAGTGATATTCTGAATACATATGTGATTATAAAATGCAGTTATGAAATGCAGTTCCATGGCCAGTTGTGCAAGAGGTTGCACATGTGTATGAATAACCACTTCTGCAAAGAGGGTTTGCACAAACTATGGGATTTTTGGTCAGCTATTGTATTGTGACCGCATACGCTCACTCTCTGCTCAATCGATTTGTAAAGTGGGCATAGTGGCATAGACTATAATCTTACAGATTAGATTATATTGTGATAATGTAGATGAAGTACATTTCAAATGAAAATGTTTCATTATTGTCATTATTATTATTAACATCACATTTTGTATATCATGGCCTCCAAGAAATCAACAAGAGAAGTACAATCAGATGGAAACATGTGTACCAAGTAGCTTAAATGTGGCTGAAAGTCTTAAGAGTAATGCTAGTGCTTTCAGTGCAAACTGTCCTTTAGATATCAAGCAATGCAAATCATTTTCAAAGCGATAACTGTGGTAATCTATTGCATCATGAGAAGAGAGGGAAGGAAGGTTGCAGGGCAGTCTTGTAGCACCTTTAAAACTAGTTGATTTATTTTAGCATAAATACACATAGATATACAAATTAGCATCTTCAGATGCTTTAATGGAACATAACAATCTGAGGAGGAGGTATCCAATAAATTGCATTGTAACCCCCTTCAACTACGATAAACTGGCTTGTATTAATAGTGACAATTCTGGTTCAACCATCTTCTCAATAGAACACAGTGTTCCTGTTCTAGATTCTACTGGTATTCTATTTTAGAGCACAGGGCATAGATCTAGCTGTTTGATTTTTCTCAAGGTTTGTCTCAGTGCTAAATTATTCAGCATTTTAATTATTAATTGGTTAATGTTTGTTACAAATTCAGGAGATGAAAAGGGCTAGATAAGTACCAAGTACTCATGGTGCCCTTAGGGAAGTAAGAGCCAGAGTTTTCTTAGCTGGAGTGTTCAGGTTACACTTTATATATTTTAGTATCTACTGAATAGAAACTGTCAGGTATGATTTAGAGAATGCCTTCATAAATCCTTGAAGCCCAAGTTAAGATTTTTTAAAACTCCAATAGTTTTCCATGGACAAAAGATAGGGAACTACAAGTAGAACCACTCAAAGGCTTTTAACTATTTAGAATTTATTTTGTACAAAATTCACATATATATGTTTTTGCACATGAGATACTGTTTTGTATGCAAATCAATCACATACACATTTTATACTGAATAAATCCCCAATTATAGCATCTTCTGTTCAGAAAATAGCATAGTCTGCATGGGAATTAATATTTTTGCACTGAAGTATTATTTTCCATGCGGAAAATTCTATGTCAACAAAAATAAACCAACCATGTGTTGATTTTGTGCAGAATACATCCTGAATTTTGAAGACTTCAGTCTTCAGGAGTCTTCTAGGGTTTCTCAACACTCAAAATCATGGGTTTTGACCATTCCCCCTATATTTTTAAAACATTCTTCCCATTCCTAACCTACCAAGTATAGGCTGCTTTCCCTCACTCACTCAAGAAAGAACCACCTTCACCCATCACCCTAATCACCAACATAAGTAAGTCAGTGGAGATTTTTGCTCTGTCAACAGCCCTATTAGATTTTGACCACTGGAAGTATTTGTCAATATATATGTGTGATCTTAGCAAAGATCGTTAAGGTTTATCAGCATTCAAGAACAAATCAAAAAATAGAAAACTGTCCCAGTATAAATGAAAATAGTATTGTGTTGTGCGTGGGCACCTTTCTCTGGGTATGCCTCCTGTACTTTAATGTACTCGAGATGGGTTGAAGAACAATTCCCATATCTTTTGGACAATATGGCTGTTGGCCATACTATTTGGGGTTGCTGGATTTGTCATCAGATAAATCCAGCTGATAGAAGTGTCAAATCTGGATTAAAAGGTTATAAATAATTATAAAGGATATAAATGTTCCAGCCTTGAAGACAACACACTAGAATTTGTTTTTTTTAATTCTTAGTTAATGTAGTTAGTGAATGCAGTTTACTCCCAGATAGGACAAATTCAGCATCGTTTCAAATGAGGGTTTAATAGAAAGCTTTTTGAGTCAAATGGAGATTTAATCTAGTAATAGCCACTTTTAGCAGCAGTTTATCTTCAGATTTAGATTCACCATCTCATACTATGTTTTTCCCCTGTTTCTTGCAGCAATTTAGAGACTGAAAAGTTTTGTGGTAAGTAGGTCATTAACTTTCCCTTCCATCTTGGCAAAATATTTCATAATTACCCACAGTGCATGTTGATTCTTCCTTTGAAGCTGATGGCCACTGTTTTTTCAGGAAAGGATCTTGCATAATACCAGGTCTAACTGCTAGTCTGATCTGTTCCTAATGCCACTAGCTACATACTAAAGCAACAGATGTAGATAATAATACTAAAGCAACTTTTCTATTTACTTATTGTTTTTAATTTTTAAAGCAACTAGAAAACAAAACACTGCACTACTTGATTGAGATGCCATTATGAATTTTTTCCCTCCTGTTACAGATTATTTCTCAGAACATCTTGGAGAATATAAGCATGTTCTGATTGCTTTGGAGCAACTCAACACTGCTGTCTTGTCAGCCATGGATAAAACCAAACTGGTAAGTGTGTAGTCATTTTCAGTCAAGGAAATGAGTTAGCTAAGAATATATTGCTTTTACAGATGGCTTTAATTAACCTCTGGTACCACCATTTGTCTCCAGTTCCTAATACGGACTGTTAGTTCCTATGTGGATATTCATGATGGATGGCATAATGAATGCACTAACCAAGGTGGATTGCCTCTTTGGAAATTCATAAAAAAACATAATTAGTATCATGCTAGTACCTTAATTTTAACCCAAAATTAGGAAAAGCTTCTCTGAAAAAGTTGCTTAGACACCATTTGGAGCACTACTCTGGAATCTACCCTTAATGCCCCAACTTGTCTCAAACCCACTAGAATAGTTTTCTCAGCTTGACTGATGTTCTGTACGGTTGTCAATGTACAACCTGGACATCTGGCACACATTTTTTTTAAAAAAACTGTCTAATTCAGGTGCCACATTTCCAATCACACTTATTAGGAAGTAAGCTCTTGAGTAGACTTGGGTTTACTTTGAAGGAAGCATGCACATGGTTATACTGTAAAAAAGCCAATGCAAGCACAAGCATTCCATTCTTCCACCATTCCTCCTAGTTTAACCTCAAATTTTGCCTTGCAAGAGCAGCAATGAAGATCAACATGAAGGAACAGCTCTCTATATCATTCTGACAATGTTGGGAGTTCTTAAAAATATTATACACATTTTTGTCCATCACTAAAACGTCTGACTTTGTTCATATCTTGGAATGGTTACTTCTGGAGACTACAGCTCCCTAAATCCTGGGAAATCTGAAACTTTCTTAAGCTTTAAATCTACCTAATTTCCAACTATGGAAGGTAGGTTTCTCCACCCTCTTCTCCTCAGCATTCACCATCATTTTCCTGTTGTTGTTGTTATGTTTCTCCAATCTTCATGCAGTGAATGCACAAACTGTATATCAGGGAGAGACTCTAGCCTGAATCCAAAAAGTCAAAATAATTTGTAGAGGAAAACCAGCTGATACCTTCAAATATCCAACTGTTTGATTTCTCAGAGAAAATTTATAATCAAGAGGGATGAGTTTTTCACTCAACTCACAGAGCATCCATCACTGAATTCATTGTGTACTTCCACTTCTTTTTACATCCTTTCTTTCTGCAGATAATTTTTTGCCTTACTTTTTACCAAAAACTGACACTGTGGGCCTTTCAAAAATCTTCTGCCAAGGTATATTATGTTTGCAATAGAGTGCCCTCCATGCAAAACAAACATCAATGGGGGGAAAAACCTGAATAAATAATGTATGAGAACGTTTCCAGGGAATAGATTGTACCTTAAATGCACAAAACAGCTTTGTTTCTGTACTTAAATGCTTTTTCCATTTAGATGAGAGAGAGCATGTGGGATTCTGCACAAATAAAGTAAAAAGACTGGGAATGGTGAACCGAGGGGCAAAATAGATACAGGTTGACTCCCTTTTCCAGAAATCAAAACTAACTAAACATTTATAGGAATAACCTTCTCAAAATCACACTTGAATATAAAAAGCTAATGTTATCTGTTACTTCCCAAATTGCATCATGAACATAATGTAAGTGTTTAAAATAATGTTCTTAACTATTGTTTTTGCCTTACTTTTTACCAAAAGTAAGACAATGTTCTTAACTATTGTTACTTAAAACAGAGTAATAAGTAATGCTGTTGCTCTCCAAGTCAGATCTGAGGTATGGTAAGCCTATTATAGGGTTTTCTTGGTAAGATTCATTCCATAGAGGTTTGTCATTGTTTTCCTCTATATTTGAGAGAACGTGACTTACCCAAGGTCACCTAGTGAGTGTCCATGACTGAGCAGGAATTCATATTAACTTATTTATGTATTTACTTTATTTCTACACCACTCTATCTCACCTGAGGGGATCTCAGAGCAGCTTCCAATTTTGGCAAACATTCAATGCCTCCGGTGGTGCAATGGGTTAAACCGCTGAGCTGCTGAATTTGCTTACCAAAAGGCTGCAGGTTCAAATCCGGGAAGCAGCATGAACTCCTGCTGTTAGCCCCAGCTTCTTCCAACTCAGCAGTTTGAAAACTTGCAAATGTGAGCAGATCAATAGGTACCACTCCGGCAGGAAGGTAACGGTGCTCCATGCAGTCATGCTGGCCACATGACCTTGGAGGTGTCTACAGACAACGCCAGCTCTTCAGCTTAGAAATGGAGATGAGCACTAACCCCCAGAGTCGGACATGACTGGACTTAATGTCAGGGGGAAACTTTTACCTACCTTAAATGCCACAATAATACATAAATCAAACAATACATAACACAGTTAAGCATTAAATCAAATAAACATATAAAATAATACACATTAAAACCAATAAAACATGTAAACATGCTTGTTTTTTGAAGTCGATTACTCAAACGCTGCACTGGGTTTAATGAGGAACAAGGTTACTTATTTCCAGGTTCTGACTCTTCCAGATCACATTGAGGTTTGCTCCTAAAATCAGAATTCCATCAAGGAAGAAAACCATATTTGAAAGTGACTTTTAGTGATGAGTTGCTGAAAATCTTATAAATGCTTTTAAATGCTGAACAATCTCTCTTCTTTGTTCTCTGGATCACAGTTCATCTCCAGTGGGACTGAAAGCATTCAAGGCTAATAATAAAGCTACCATCCCTGAGATCTATTTTAGATATAAATGTGCTAGAGAAATAATTTAATGTGCTCAGCAGGAAGGAAGCATGATGGGTTTCTGATTTGTCTGGTGATTCACTTCTTCTAAAGTGATAGGCATGATCTAAAGATCACCTCTGAATAGGGTGTTTGCGTATTTGAATGAGATAACCATTCTGCTGATTTGACTAGGGACTTCATCACATGGGCAAACTTACCCATTCTAGGATGCCTTCAGTACAGCTCAGGGACTGAGCCCACTGGATCCCATCAAAAGACACACAGCTACTTTCGGCAGGGCTCCATCCCCGAACTGCGATGAAAGCACCCTAGGACAAAGCAACGAGAACACGGGAGGTGGTGCTGCAGGCTATGTGATGGCTGGCAAATCCCCCCACTGTCATCTGCATTAGGCCGACTAATGTGATGAGGTCTCAAGGTATATGTGAACCAGTTAGACCTGCCTCCAATCTAATTTTATGGCAAGGAAAATTTTAGATTGAGTTGAAAACAGAAGTAACCTTGTGCATTTGAGTGAGATTACTTCAAAATAAGGAAGCTATAAATTGCAACAACTTTTCAGGGCCATCTATTAAAATATAGCAGGATATGGATTTCTTTTAGGCTTGGGCCTAATCATTTCCAGTATGGAATATTGGAAGATGCATCAGTGATTAGCACTCAGATTTCCACATATGTCACACGCATACATTTTTTCTCACATAGTCATTGGCACATGGAGACATTCCCATACACATCTGTTCCATGTACACTTTCAGTACAAAAATATATTTTTGACTGAGAACCAGTTTACACAAAATATTTTCTTGGCAAAATTTGCACAAATATAATATTTCGTAAAGCAGTCCCAAAATGCAAATTAATGTGAAAAACTCGGTAATCTTGATCAGTGAGAAAAATACTTTTGAAATTATTCATTTTTGCCATGAAAAATGAAATAATCAAACATATTAATTCCTCTGAAACACCATTTTTCCCTGCCTATTAAAGTTGTACTGGCAATGGGAATCTCCCAGCATGGCTGCCACAATAATAAGTCCTCATAGTAAAGATTACTGCTTTTCTACAAATCACACTTGAACAAACTACTAAAAGAAAAATAACACCTTCTAGTCTATGGCATGTTAGTCAGATTTTTAAAAAGTTAAATGTGATCAATCTGTGAAATCAAGTGTGGCATAAACATTTCCCAGGGTTGCCATTTCTTAACAGCAAAACATATTTGCACTGTATCCAAAGCACCAGGTGGCGCAATGGGTTAAACCCTTGTGTTAGCAGGACTGGTGACCGATAGGTCGCAGGTTCAAATCCGGGGAGAGCACGGAGGAGCTCCCTCTGTCAGTTTTGGCTCCTGATGAGGGGACATGAGAGAAGCCTCCCACAAGGATGGTAAAACATCAAAACATCTGGGTATTCCCTGGCCAACGTCTTTTTCATGTCAGTCACTACTGACATGAAAAAAAAGACTGTATTCAAATATATATAGGGATTAACAATATGGGATAACAATGATCTTGACCATTTCATGTGAGGGAGAAATCACTTTATTCAAAATAAAATTCTGTATATAATCAGAGAAAAACTGATTGTGATGCTTGGAACATCTTTGTTTTGCTCTGGCCTTCGCTACATTTTATTTAGTGGGGTCATTTCCAGGTGGAGCATGTTTTCACCTAATTGAATTTCTCATGAACATAAGTTGCTCCATACTCTTGATAATCTTCTTTTCTCATCCAAAAGCGCTGGAAAGAGGTAAGTGAGGCTAGTATGGAACCTCCCAGCCAAACACCTATGCCTCTTACTGAGGAAGTAAGTATTTTGATAGGGTGCCCTCCTCCATGGAATAAGTTACCCAGTTCCAAGTGTATTTTCTCTGGAAGCCAGGAAACAGTGAGGAACTGCAGTCATATATTTTATAATATCAGCCCAGTCTTTAATGTTGTCCTTCCTATCTACTTTCTGGATAAAGAATTATTTTTTATTCTAATTTTTGCGCTATTAATTCTTCCATTTTCTTATTTACCTTGTTGTGGAATTTTTGCACTTTATCGCAGTCTCACCACATATGCATATAGGAGCCATGATAAGAATTCTTACATATAGGAATAGTTATCTCTGAAGACTTCTTTTACTGGTAGTGAACATGATCTAATAAAGCAGTGTTGCGGAATCTCATGTAACTCCATTAAAATAGTTTTAGGCAAGGTGCTGTGTGTGTTTTTTAATGTATCTGAAATGCTTAACAAAAGAAATTGCCATTCTAACTGTTTTCGGTGTATTGTTGATCCTGTGGTACTTACTATACAGTGCAGGCCACTTTTGAGCAGTATTACTTTCACAAAT